AAAACAGGGGGGTTCAAAAACTGCCATCCACCCTAACCCCACAGTCTGGGTTGGCGCATTCTTCCTCCGGTGCCTGGCCAGTAGCTTGAACCTTTTCTCTCAGGTTCTTACTTTAACCACAGTGGACAAGCCCACAGTTTGGCTTACACTGCCATTGTCTACAGTTGCAGAAAGAATTGTTCAAAGCTCCTTGTTCTTGACAAGAATCTTACTAGACACGGTTTATTCCCTGTGGAGGAAAACAGTTAACAAGGTGTCCCCTGTTTTCAACCAGGGCAGAAAGCGAAGTGGCCCTGCTCCAATTGTATTAATTGCACAATCTTTCCTACCAGATCCAAAGAATAGAGAGTTAGTTTTGGGTTTTTCCCCCTCTTTTTCTACCTATCTTCAAAAGAAACATGAGCGTAAAATTCAAGATTCGCTCAGGAACCATTACACAGAAATGATAAAACAATTTATTGTTCTGGACTTTAAAATCTCACTTTTATATCTTAATGAAGTAAAGCAAAATCAGGGACAACCAAACCTTCTCATTAATCACACCTCAGGCTGGAATCAAGAATGTGTCCTTTGTTAGGCTGGATTAATTCAGAATAGAATGTCCTGTTGAATTGGCCCAAGTGAAAATGATCCGATGAAAAAGGAAAAATCACCACTTTCCTTTCAGTACCAACTGAGATGGGCAGTCACCCTCCCAAGGGATCCATTTGCCAGATAAACACACTAAGCTGGAAGGTACTGTGCACGCAACTGCTGGTGGGATGTACCTGCCACTTGTCAAGTAGCCCGTTCTGCTCCAGGCTCTCCAAATGACCTTACCTTAGTGCTGGAAATCTGGCACAGATTATAGTCATCTTTCCCTACAGAATGGCTTTACTGCCTTGTAACCGAAGCTGGGTAGGGGAGACCTGCTTAACAGCTAGGTTAGATGTTTTCTGTTTCAGCAGGAAAGAATCAAATTGCCTGATAAACGCACAGGGTAGAGAGGGGGATAAAATGGAGACTATTAAATGTGAACAGTTTACATTGGGGCCTGAGACATGGATGAACTGAAACCACAGTCAAATGTGGTTACAGCCTGTAACCAGGTTTATCTTCATACATTCTGTGTCAGAGGCAAGGCAGAACCTAGCGACCCACAGTGCCAACACGTGGGTAGGCTCTCACCCACGACCGGTCACCAGACGAGCTCCAAGTTGCCGTGGCGGATGGAGCCTGAACCTTCTCATGGCATTTCCATTAAATAGAAATGCAGCAGCTTCAAAGCAACATCTGTAACAGCCCCACGCTCATCTGCATTTCTAGGTATGTTTTTGAGTGGATGAGGAAGGGCGGGGTGACAGGCAGACTGCAGAAAGCACCAATAATTTTGGTTACACTTAGGGGAGAAAGCCTCCTAAAAGAGGTGACATGGTGAGCCACTTAACTCAAGAGCCTGGGAAGGCAACAGTGAAAGAGTGAATGAATGAATGAATGAATGAATGAATGAATGAACGAACGAATGAATTCCCGTTGGCCTGCAGCAACCTCCCCTACTATAGGATAACCCTAGATAAAAAAAGACGGAGGAATTACTATTTCAGGCTGCTCACTTATCACTGTAGAAGGAGTTCCTGCAGGGAGTGAGCCACCTGGGACAGCTTCGATAGGTGCTCCTGATACTGTTTCATTACACTGCCCACCCCTCTACAAGTTCTCAGGTCAACGAGATTATTACTTGACTCAGAGAGCTAAAATTAATCTCCTATTGGGCAGCAGCAGCGGCAGCCAAACCAGCCCTCTGTTTAACTGGTGGCAGCACGCTCAAGTCTTTTTATTGGCTTCATGAAGAAGCTCTGAAGTCACTGTAGAAAAACCCAAGCGTGTCGAGACGAGGGGGAACTGCAGTCCTGAAAGTGCTGCCTTCCCCTAGCCAAGTAGGTGGCCTCCCGCTCACCATGAGACTGCCCTATGAAATATTCACATCTGGGAAACCCAGCCCCCCAACCTCTGTCACTGTTGCCAGGTGGCCCTAAGAGGAAGTGTGAGCCCAAAGACTAAATTCTTACCTCCTTTGCATTTCAGGCAACCAACCAGGACAGAGAAAACACTAACAGGACAGGAAAGAACTCCTGACAGACTTGGACTCCACAAGTCACTGAGATTGTTTTCCTCCTCACATGTGTGTCAATAGGGGGCTGCTCTAGAATAAGGGAAAGTTAGGCCTGTGTCCTAGGGGGCTTTGACAGCTGTTGGACAAAGGACAGAGGTTGCTAGAGTAAGCCTGAGCCACCAGTCAGGTGAGTTTTGGTGGCAAAGTGAGTGGTTCTCAACTCCTGACACTAACGCAGACACCAGTCAGGAAACAGGCATGGTGGGCGGCATTGGGTGAGAAGACATCTGACGAAACTGAACCATGGGATGGGGCCATCGGTGGTGGCAGCGGGCGGGTCCACAAAGCTGGAATTTGTCTCTTTAGCTGCTAGCAGAATGGTGGAAAGGTTATAGGAGAAGCTAACAATGTTTTGAAGTTGATTTGAAAAATGACAGCACCAATTAGGCAAGAAGCAGTTGAGCAGTCTTCAGTTTGAGTCCATTTTGGGCAAAAAACAAAACAAAACAGGAGAGGTGCCTTGGGCCCTGCCTCAAGGCAAGCTGAGTCTGTGACTGAGACTGGGTGTGGTGGTGCAAGCTTGCAATCCCAGCGCCTGGGCAGCTGAAAACAGGAGGATCACTATGAGTCTGATCTGTGTAGTAAGATCTTGTACACCCTGTACTAAATATATTAAAAAAAAAGAAAAGAAAAGAAAAAACAGGAGAGGGCCAGCGAACTTGCTTGGTGGTACTAAACACCTGCTTTGGCAAGTGCGGGGACCAGGGTTCAATCCCTGGTCCAACATGCCATGCCGGCCCCAGGAGCGACCGAGTCCAGCCGTGGTGGTGCACACCTGTAATCCTAGCACTGGGGAGACTGAAAACAGGAGGATCACTACGAGTCCAAGCTGCGGAGTGAGACCCCTGTACAAAATACATAAATGAAAACAAAACAAAAAACAGGGCAGGAAATGTTACTCTGTTACTGAGACCCCCATAGGAGGCCAGGTGGGTGGACAGAACAGACTATCAGAACAGTCAGTAGGAGTCTTCACTGTGGAAAGAGATCTAGAGCCGACCCTTTGGGGGCCTCATTCTGGTGGTGGGCTGTGAACAGCACAGATTTGGTCCACAGCATCATGAGTCAGCAGATAGCCTATCACAGGATGCAAGAAATGCGATGCCTGCAACGCCGAGCTCTGACTAGGAGCTTTCTGGGTATCGCCAAGGAGTGAGTGGAAGCCGTTGCAGTAAAAGATAAATCATCATTTAATTTATTAGCGCCAAAGAATAGTATCTGCGCAACAGTGGTGAAATGCAATTCTGGACTTAAAAAGTGTTTCCCACATATAAAGTTTATCTTCAAACGCTCAAATATTGCATCTGGGTTCTTTTTGTTGTTGTTTTGTTTTGTTTTCAGGTTTAAGCATCTCGCATAGATTTCACACCATTCAAGGTTATGAAACAGACTTTATGTAGTAAAATGATAGCCTTCCTGAAAGCAAGAGAAATACAGTAGTATGAATACTGTTCTACCTGAAGTATGCAAATTACTATCTCCCTGAAACTGTATAAAGTCTTGGTGCATATGAGCATGTTGTGTTCCTGGAAAAGGGCTCCATCTGATCATGCAGCAGGGCTCAAGAAAGGCAAAGGACCCCCAAGACAGGCAGAAGCCTTGCCCAAGGCTGGCCAGCACCTTCAGGTTCCCGGCAGCGTTCTCCTCCTCCCCTCTCACCCATAGGTTTCTCCTCCACTTTCACGGGTCCTCCCTCCCCTTCTTCTGGATGCTTTTCTTTTCTTCTCATTCACAATTCCACTACTGCCCCTCAGGTCTTGGGTGGGAACACGTATCACTTATTTAAAACAAACAACAAACAGCAATGCAAACTCCTGTTTGGAAGAATACTTTCGAGTCCTTGGACACTGCAGTACGCATGCTCAAGCCGTTTCTGCTCAACATTTGGGGTCTTTCTAGATACTGTGGGGTTGTAAGCACACAGGAACTCTGAGGACACCACTCTGAGTGCTGGAGAATTACTGGGAGCAAGTTTCCCATGGATTTTAATAAGCTCACGATGGGTGTTGGCCATAAACACATACATGAACACACACACACACACACACACACACACACACACACACAGAGTTTGAAGTCAAACACACCACTTTCAGTAACCTGAGGCCCTGGGTGCTTTTCCAGTTTATATTAGTTTCTGAAATATTTGCAGTCTCAATCTGAGTTGAGATTTGCAAGAAATATCTAGGGCTTGCTCGACATGACATTTTCAGTCATCCACTATAAATGGTGTGCTGGTACAGGAGCCACAAGGAAAACCTGAGTGCTCCTTTCCTTATTGGTAGATGACAGCAGTGCACACAGCATAAAGAAAGGAGCTGAGGGAGGCGGGCGAATCTCTGCAGCCCAGAAGGGGAGGTTGCCCTGGGTGTGACAGAACCGAGGCCCCGCTGAGCACTGGGATGGTGCCCCGCCTGCCCCACCTCTAGGGGTAGGCATTAAGTGTCAGCTGCTTCATCATCCCACAAGGCGAGATGCAAGCTCCTAAAGTAGCTTTTATTTTTTCCCTGCCATGAATGCCGTTTTATAGCTTGTGTGGAGCACCGGAAAAGACTGTGTTGGCCTTCTAGATCATTAAAATATGTGCATGGAGGACAGCACTATTCCTAAGAGCCAGAAGACCTCAGACATGTGAAAGTACTGAAAGGTCAGCGGACGCCCGTGAGGCACACACTGAAACAGACGTGGAGACACCTGAACAACAGAAACGCAAGCTGCCTCTGTTCAAAAGGCAAGTCACGGAGTCAGCCAGGAGCCCCGGTGCAGAGGAGCCAGGCGGTCCACAGCCCTCCACTTCCCCCACGGCTGCAGGATCCCACAGCCTGTGTGCCGCCTCACCGCTCCTCACCTCACTGCAGCCGCCAGCCGGGACATGCGCAGGACGTGCTTCTTCATCGAGTGGCTCGATCACTGTCACCTCTGCAAACTCCTCCACAGACTCTTGAAACTCCGGCAAGGACCTTCGTCCATAGCGCTTCCCGCCTCTAACATACTTAGGCTGAGCTTCTAGTGCACAGTCTGGACAAGGAGACAAAAGTTGGGGCCACATTACAGAAAATCTCAGCCCTGAGCTGACACTGCCACCAGCCGCAGCCTCTTATAGCAGCCCCAAAATAGGCCACCACTATCGGCCAGCTGTGGTGGCCGTGGGTGTAGATGAGCTGCTGAGTCGGGGCAGAGCCCAGCTTCTAAATGTGAATGACTTACAGCACCCTGCTGCCCGTGGGCACAGTTCAGGGTGGACACAAAGATGGGAGCAGGGATCTGACTCATGAGAACCCCAATATCATCTTATAGACTTTTGAGTGCCTCACAGAGTGGGTTTTAGAATCAAATACCCCACTAGACCTCAGAAAAAGGTGAGAGATTCTATTTGGTTTTCTGTTTATTAAGCTCTTTATTAAGTCTTTGCAAGGGTAGGGGTTACTGAATAGGGTACAGAAAGAGAGAGAAAACTAACAGATGCCGTGGAGAGTCTTAGAAAATGATAACAAAATGGACCTCAGACTAGCACGGTGAACGTCTCATCTCATCGGAAACACTTCTGCTTCCCTCTGTGGCTCTATTGTTAACCATTCTACTTTCTGATCCATGAGACCAGCAGAATGCCAGAACAGGAAAGGTGACAGAGTGGGATACTAGTCAACTAGCAAAAGCCATCTGCCCCTGTGAAACCTGGCATCAAGATCTCATTATCAAATTAAAGGCTACGGAATAAAATAGCCAGTGCAACAGTGCATGAAGTAGAATGGTACACAATGTGTTTTTCTCTTCATGAACTTCAGTGTTGGACATGTAATAAGAAATGTGGGGACGGTGGGAGTTGGCTCCCAACCTAGAAGGACCTCGGCACTGACACAGCATGTCAGCACCAGCGTTCACCACCACCACCACTGCCACCTTCACCACCATCACCACTGCCACCATGCCCACCACTACCAACTAATCTTGACTACGGGTAACTTTAAAGCACTAACATAAATACTTCACTCTATTCGAATATCATCTTAAAGATCTTAGGCACCTTGCATGCTACTAGGAGAATAAAATATTCCATGGAAATAGAAAAGACTCGCAGTGCTTTGATTTCTGCTGTCTTACTAAGGTCTACACAGAGAGTCTCTCTGGAGAATATAATGTGAATTCTGTTGGAACCTGATACTCTTAGCAAGGCACCTCCCAAGTCAGACATACGGCTTTAGATGAGGCATGAATGCATACCATTAACATCAGGGTGGTTGGGTGGTTGGCTAACAGTTGAAAGAACAAAAACCTTTCCTCACTACCACTCAACCACGGTAGGCTGACCCTTACTTTATGAAGCTTCCCTGGGAGGGCTGGGGACCCTGTTGGATTCCCCCCCTCCCAATGCCCTTCCTCTGGGATGGGCTCAGATTTCATGATGATATTCACAAATGTGGCCAGAAGAATTTTGAAAATGCTCTGGCAAGTTCAGAGTGAAATATTTATGCTAGCTCTACCATCTCTAGCGATATTTATATCCAGCTTTTAAAAAGTCCCAGCCATGTCATTTTATTAGGTCAAGCGATTGTCTTACAGGAAGTGTTGAAGCATATAAAATTTATACTGAAAATCGCATGCATATTTGAAGGTACCTTTTATCAGAAGAGAGTGTGTCAGCTTGTGGGTATTCAGGAGCGGCACAGACACCCGAGCTACTTGTTGGCAGCTGACACCCACAGATGCTAGTTAGATAAGAGGCAATGCAGAACCATCCTTAATTTATTAGATATGCTTAAATGTTAGTGGCAGACAAGATATACCATTAGTAACGATGGGGGCTTGCAAAGATTAAAAAGAAAACTTACGACCTCAATAAATAGAACCATAGTCAAGTCTGGGGATGGAGACTGATGATGGAGATCTTACTGTTTGCTTTTTTTTTTTTTTTTTTTTTTCAGGGTCAGGGTCTCTACATAGTTCAGGCTAGCTCTGACCTCACTATGTAGTCCAAACTAGCTTTGAACTCACGGTGATCCTCCTGCCTCAGCCTCCCAAG